AATCAAAGGAATTGAGTGAGAAAATCAGAATAGAGGAAGAAAAAGAGATTGACCAAGCGGCTGTGGAGGAACTTCGGAACCTTTGTTTGATGAATAAGAAAGAGAAAAGTTTTTAAGTAGTATCTGTTCATTCAATGATGTCAAATTTGTTACTCCTTCTTGTCTCTTGCAAAATTATCCAACAAATTCATAAATTGCTCAATTTGTATCTGAAAGAGGCCACGGTTTGGTCCTCTTCTTCTTAATTGTATCATTTTTTGGTTTATATGATATGGTTTTAGCATCACCGTAATGTTGGGAAAAATAATATCCCGCCCAGAAATAATATCCACGATAAATAATAATGACACAAGAGAATAAACAATGACACCAAATATTTTAACGGGGTAAAATACAATATCCGAGGGAAGCAATATAATACCACTATAATATTACAACTTTGTAGTGTCAAAAGACTACTATGACTCAAAAGAAATAATACTCTTTATTTTAAATATCACAATATTACTCACACTCTATTTTCTCACAGATTATAAAATAGTCTCTCGATTACTCTCACAGCTCTAATACTTCTCTCTTATTTTTGGTGTGATTGAAATGAAGAAACGAAACCTCTATTTATAGTAAGAGTTGTCGTACAAATAGCCAATGAAAATGGCTTGTTGCTGATTTGGTCAAGCAATTTGCATGTGCAATTTGCCTATAATTTGTCAACAAAGTTAGGCACCTACCATCCCATTATTTCTTTTTTTCTTTTTGTTTTCTTCAATATGAGCCCCACAAATCCCTCCCTTAATTTTGTTTTTTCTTTTTCATTCCAAGGCTTGATCTCAATCTCTGAAAATTCTCAAAACTTAAGAGGCTTTGTAAAGATACCTGCAGCCTGATAATGAGACTTCACATATTTGAGCTCGACTTCCTTTTTGGCAATGCATTCTCTAATAAAGTGATACCTTGTATCTATATGCTTGCTTCCATCATGATACACCGGATTCTTGGCAAGTGATTGTGCGGATATGTTGTCAATACAAATCTCTGTAGCTTAAATTTGTGACAAATTGAGCTCCTTCAATAATCTTCTCAGCCAAATAGCATGACATGTACAAGATGTTGCTGCTATATATTCAGTTTCACAAGTCGAGAGAGTAACAATGGATTGTTTCTTTGAAATCCAAGAAATAACATAATCACCCAAGAAAAATACAAAATCAGTTGTGCTCTTTCTATCATTAATATCTCCCGCATAATCACTATTATAAAATTCCATAAGGTTGAAGTCATTAGAAGAAGAATAAAATAATCCAAAGTCAATCGTTACTTTTAGGTAACGAAGAATTCTTCTAGTGACTTTCAAATAAGTGGAGGTAGGAGCTTCCATGAAGCGGCTTACTACTCCAATTGCAAAGAGTATATGTAGCCTGGTATAAGTCAAGTACCTCAAACTTCCCACAAGACTTTTAAAAAATGTGGTATCCATTTTTTCTCCTTCATCAAACTTGGACAGTTTTGTCCTACTCTCCATCGGTGTGTTCACGGGGTTGCAATCGAGCATGTTGAACTTCTTCAATATCTCTTTTGTATAGCATTTTTAAGAGATAAAAATTCCATCCTCCATCTGCTTCACTTCTAGGCCCAAGTAGTATGACATGAGCCCTACGTCCGTCATCTCGAACTCACCGGACATATCTTTCTTAAAAGCTTCAAACAAACTTAGGTTATTACCCGTAAAAATAAGATCATCAACATAAAGACAAACAATCAAGATATCTCCATTAGTATGAACTTTAAGGTAAAGAGCATATTCATAGAGACAACGAGTAAACCCATTGTCTTGAAAATACTTGTCGATGCAACTATTCCATGCCCGTGTAGCTTGCTTTAATACATATAAAACTTTCTTCAATTGCAACACTTTATATTCATGGTTTTTGACCACAAAGACCAATGGTTGTTCAACATGGACTTCTTCTTCAAGATAGTCATTCAAAAAGGATGACTTGACGTCTAGTTGATGAATCTTCCACTTCATTTGCGCTGCCAAAGAGATGAGCAAACGAATCGTCTCCATGCGGGCAACAGTTGCATAGACTTCTTCATAGTCAATGCCTTGCCTTTGCTTGTAGCCTTTAGCCACAAGTCGTGCATTGTATCTCTCCACATCTCCATCAATATTCTTCTTTGTCTTGTATACCCATTTTACTTCAATTTCTCGATGACCCTTAGGAAGAGTTGTTAACTCCCAAGTGTTGTTCTTCACTATTGACTCGATCTCCTCTTCCATGGCTTGTCTCCACCTTTTGTCTATAACAACTTCATCAAAGTTTATTGGTTCACTGTCAGCAAAGAGACAATATAAAAAGTTCAAAATTAGTAACTTCTTCTGTGTCCTTATAGAGCTCTTGAATACTCCTTGTCCTTTGTGGCTGTTCATTTGAACTTTCTTGAGAAGAGGGAGATGCAACATTTGTTGGAGAAGGAGGTGGAATTGTGTCCTGCACAGGTTTCACGGTCTCTGGTTCTTCTTCATCACCAAAGTATGGAAGAAAATCATATGAAGTTTCTTCACGAGCTTCCCAATTCCATGCCAATTCTTCATCAAATTCAACATCACGACTCACTACCACCTTGCGGCTACTTGGGTTGTATAACTTATAGCCTTTTGACCTCATATCATAGCCAACAAACACATGCTTGACACTTCGATCATTAAGATTCTCTCTCCCTTGATGTGGCACATGAGCATAGGCTATGCTCCCAAAGATTCTCAAGTGCTTGACACTTGGCTTTCTTCCACTCCATGCTTTTTGAGGGGTTTGATCTCTAACATTCCTTATTAGAGACCTGTTATTCAAATAAAGTGCACAAGAAACAGCTTTGGCCCAAAATTCCTTGGGCATAATTTTAGCTTTCAACATACATCTGGTCATATTAAGAATTATTCGATTCTTTCTCTCTACAACTCCATTTAGTTGGGGTGAATAAGGTACCGTTATAGGGCGACGAATTTCATGAGACTGACAAAAGTCATTCAATTCTTTTGACGTGAATTCGCCTTCTCTATCGGACCTTAAAGCTTTTATTTCATAGCCACTTTCTTTTTCCACAAGTACTTTAAAATTTTTAAAAGTAGCAAAAGCTTCAGATTTTTGGTTTAAGAAATAAACCCAAGTCTTTCTACTAAAGTCATCAATGAAAAACAGAAAGTATTTACTTTTACCAGAGAAAAGTGGATTGATTGGTCCACACACATCAGTGTGAACAAGTTGAAAAAGTTTGGTTGATCTTGACATGGCCTCCTTTGAAAAACTCCTCCTTGCATGTTTTCCAAGAAGACAAGCTTCACACAATTGATTGGGATGGTTGATTGATGATATCCCATGCACCATGTTGTTTTCTTCCATTGATTTGAGCGGTTCAAAATTCAAGTGCCCAAATCACATGTGCCAATACCATGATCCATCTTGCACATTAGCCTTCAAACACTTTGCATTAATTGTCTTAAGATTTAGAGAAAATAATCTGTTCGTTGTCGTATGCACTTTAGCAATTAGAATTCCACTTGAATCTTTAAACCAAAGATGCATATTTTTCATGTGAATGTCATATTCCTTTTCAAGAAGTTAGCCCAAACTCAAAATATTACTTTTTAATTTTGGGACATAATAAACATCTTGAATTAGCTTGTGACTACCATCTTTACAGGAGATCATAATCGTACATATCCCTTCTATTTGAATCTTTGAGGTATCTCTAAAGGACACATTACCTCTCACCGTTTTATTGATCTCCACAAACTTCTCTTTGCATCCATACATATGATTGCTTGCTCCATTGTCCAAATACCACGAGCTGCAATCATCCCTGTCTTCTTCCTTGAGTGTCATCAACAATGTTGACTCATATTCTTCTTTCTTGTCGTCAACAAGGTTAGCTTTTTCTTTAGCATTGCTACGATATTCCTAAGAGTAATGGCCAAATTTATGACAATTATAACACTCAATTTTTGATTTGTCATACCTTTGTCCATTATTTTCTTGATAGTAGCCACGTCCTCTTCCTCCTCTATGTCCACGACCACGACCTCTGAATGTTTGGTGGATTTTAACTTCATTGTTGAAGTTGTTACCGTTACTTCTTCCTCTTTTATGACCGCCACGGCCTCGTCCTCGTCCTCGTCCGTTTCCTCGATAACTCTTTTCACCTCCATGGTCCTTAAAGGATGCCCGAGTTTTAAGAAGTTGCTCCAGTAGCACTTCTTGTCTCCTTTTGATCTTTTCTTCGTGGGCCTCTAAAGAACCCTCCAATTGCTCTGCCATCATAGTGTTTAAATCTTTAGATTCCTCAATAGCACACACCACAAAATCAAATTTAGGTGTTAAAGTATGAATGATCTTTTCTACCACATGGACAACTTCTATGTCCTTGCCGTATCTTCTTAGTTGATTTACAACAGCCTTCACTTTTGAACAATAATCCGAAATGTATTCGGATTCTTTCATTTTTAAAACTTTAAAGTCAGCCCTTAGAGTTTGAAGTTTTACTTTACTCACCTTGTCAACTCCTTGATGAAAATTTTGTAAATCTCCCAAACTTCCTGAGGTGGCAGCATCTGTCACCTTCTCAAACATGGCATCACCCAAACATTGGTGGATGAGCGTTAGGGCTTGTTGATTGTGACGGTTTCAAAAAACGTCATAGTTACGTTCGCCACAAGCTTTTTTGCGGTAGTTTTGTACAACCTCCACGGCGACCGCCACAAAATAAATTTTTAATTTGTGACGGTTTATAAAACTAATTAGCGGCAATTTGTCACCTCCATAATATAATTTCAACGTTTGAAAAAAATAATTTGTGGGAATTTATAACCCTCACAACTTGATCTCAATCTAATAAAAAAATTAATAGTGACAATTTGTAACTACCACAATATCTATCTGAAAGTTTATATTCGAGGATTCAATAAATAATTTTACTAAATAACTCTCACAATAGAAATCAAATTCCATTAAAAATATCAATACTAACAAACATCATAATTTTAAATTCACATCAAACTAAAATTATACAAATAAATGTATGATAACTTAAACATTATACTATAAAGAGTAGATCCTCATCCTCAATAAATAAATATACAAAGTGCAATGTACTTGCTTGGTGATTTACATTGTTATAGCTTGATGCTACTCTTACATCCATGAGGGGAAGTAGACTCGCTCTCCACATCACTAAGCTGAAATAATGAAACAAAAATATTTGATGAAAAACTTATAATTGACTAGCATTTTGACAAACTAAAAGCACAAATCCAGTTACATAAATAGATGAAAGCTCTAATTTTTTTAACAAATTAATCTGTCACTTGATCTAATCAAGGCATTGAACAGAAGTTGTTGGATATTATCATATGAATAAGAGCTAAAGTACAAAGTTAATTCCTCATATATCATCACAATACTTGGCAACATAAATTCTGGCCATATTCATGAAATAAAAAAAACCACCTATGTAACTATTAAAGTATAAGTCAACCTAAATAGTTTTTCTAACATTAGAATTCAACAAATAAAGTATAAGTTATAATCCAACCCAATGATTAACGGAAGATGAAAAGTTGAACGCTAACAGCACCGGAAAACTCAAGTAGAAGAAATGAACGGATAAAATAGGAGCCATAAACTAATAGTTAGTTAAACAAACCAAGCCAGCGTCAAAATCTTTTGGAGCTAACTTCAAACAAAAGAAGCAACAAAAAAGTGCCAAAACTTGAACAGGAAAAATAGAATTTATATACTACCAACTTACTTCAACGTCTAATTTGTTAAGGGACTTAATCAAATTTCCAGACATGAATTCCATTAGTATTTGTATCAGTAACACTGCAAGAGAATACGAAACAAATTACTCTTAATAACATATAGTAATCAAGGGAAAAGAAGTGAAAGAATTGAAAATGTAGGAGATAACTTAGTGACATCTCAACAATAGAATTTGGAATTTTTGTTTGATTAGTTTCTTTTAGTAGTTTTCTTTTCATCAGTTAACCATCTCAGTATCCTTCAAAATTATAAGAAAGCAATATCATTAAGCTAATTAAATAATTAGAACATGCCCTTCATATAATTGGAGTTGACAAAATAGATAGCAGAACCAACTATCACATGAGTGTCAGGGACCTTTGTTATTTCTTAAAATTATTGTATATTTCAGTAACCAGTAATCTTAGGGATAAGAAAAATCCAAATGCAATCAATTTAATAGAAAACCACCACATATTTATGTGTGTTGTGAGTTTAGACTAGTACATCAAGTTTACATCCACCTTTAGCCACGTATGTAGAAAGATGTCAATGAGCCAACTGTGTTACTTGTTCCCGAGGCTACTATTTTTTGTTTCACTTAAAGTAGTGTTCAATGCTGCAAATGTTCTTCCAATTATTCTAGCTTCCTATAAGTCTTGAAGTTTGTTATACAAAAAATAAGCTTTCTCTGAAACGAACACCTGGTCAAGAAATGAGTTAAAAAGCATAACTTACAACAATCCTGAAACCTTTGCCCACATATTCACCAGCGAAAGAAATTTTATTCACCATGCTTGTTTGCACCCAAATAGGTCATGCATCATGAAAAGGGAAACATGAAGGAGTATAACAGAGATAGTTCTGACTAGTCATTGAAATTTTCTTTATAATCATTTCTAGACGCTTCAGATAAGTCTCAACTCAAAGTCGGAACTACTAGCTAAAGTTTAATCTCTAGATTTTCACTGATAATCACGGTTAAACAAATATGTTGGAATTACTTAGACGTTTTATTCATTTGATCAAAAGTACTCATGAATAACAAGAAATCCAGACACATTTGTAGAAGCAAACACAATGAGTGCTTTACCTTCACGAATTAGCTCAAATCTTGGATGATCAATCCATTGCTTTAGATTATCCTTTGATCCATTGGAGTAATTTTCTACAACAATCACCTGAGCATATGCAAAAGTTAATGTAATTGTACTGAGTAAGCAATCACTTTCTAATCATTTTTGATATACAAGGATGCAATAGTTGCAAATATACAACAGAAAACCAAACTTAGAAGATTGTACCTCATTCTTCTCATTTTACATTAGTTTGTCAACAAAGGCGAGAGCCGATAGTCTAGACCATCTACCAAATTCCTCATGTTGATCTGTGATTATGGCAGTTCGTGAATAGTAAACAATGCTAACTAATATCAGGAAATCACACTAGTATCCCGTAAAGCAGCCTTGATTAAACACTAATTAGAGTACTACATTATGAAGAGGCTGAAAATCAAAATTCTACTTAATTGTAACAAGAAGAAAAACAAAAAATCAATTCCTAGACCATTAGACCATCAATCCCCAAGCTCGACCAACTTACAAACAATTCAAAAATCAAACCCAAAACTTAGTAGTGATCAAAGTCGTTGGACAAAGAAAGAGTGCATTGCGTTGTTCCCCGTACTTCAAAATTCTAAATACACAATCCATCCGGGAAAACATCAATCAACCGTAAAAGACCAAAGATCTCCCAAATACCACGTAATACAAATATACAGTCTCTCACTAGAGAGCCTCCATTTAAACGCGCATAGGATTCCCTCACAACAATTCTTAAAACGGTAAAATTTGCAATTAGACCTCAAGCGAAGGAACGAACCCACACAAAATTGAACCAAAATATAACACAATACTAGTAATAATACATAAATCCGCAAGCATATCTTAAATAATTTTGAGTACAAACTCTGTAACGAATAGTAAACAAAGGAGATATAGAGCAACTGGAAATAAAAAGAGTATGACGAAGTACGAACCTTTGTTGTTCTGACTGCGCCGACTTTCTCTCGGTAGAGAAGGTGATGAAGAGAGGAATTTTGGGCCTAAAAGATTTTGTGAGTTGGGGAGAGGGAATTGTATCCTGAAAAAAGGGGAGGATAGGAGGGTGGGGGAACGGAGGGAATTTTGCCCGCGAGATTCTGAAAATTTTCAGTCTAATCTCCAAATTACCCCGTAAGATGCCAATTAAAACCTATGAAGATAGTGTCCAGTATTGTCTTTTAGCGTCTTTCTTTGCTTCTAGTTTTCTCTTTTATTTCCTTTTTATTATTTAAAAAAAAAGAAACTTTGACAAATAAAATTGACCAACTAATACAACATACTTAAAATCTAATTGATATATACTACTATACAAAAAAAAAGCAACGAAAAACAAAAGATCCAAACAAATAATAAATTAAATATAATACAAACTTACTAAAACTCATTAAAATAATTCATTTAAAATTCAAATTTCTAAATATCCTTGATTACATAAAATGTGACAAAATTATAAAAGTGCTAATATTTTTGCCTTAATTCACAACTCCTAATATTATGAAAATAAAAGACACTCATGTGCAGATATTTTGTATTTTTTGTCACGACCCAAATTTCCAACCAAGGGGTCGTGATGACACCCAACATCGCTTGCTAGGCAAACCAATACTTAACAAGACTAAATCCAACAACCATCTAAAATCTTCCCAGAACTAGTGTCACCGAGTACATGAACTTCTACAAAACTACTAAATACAATGTCTGAAATGACAAATACACTGTTTGATACGAATAAACAATATAAAGTCTAGAAGATGGATGACATCAAGACCTGCGGACGAGAATGCAGCACTACCTCGAGTCTCCACAACCAAGCAAGCTAGTTTGTCCTTTGAGTACCACTAAGTTTGATGCCAAAGTATGCACATGAAGTGCAGAAATGTAGTATGAGTACAACCGACCCAATGTATTCTGTAAGTGTCAAACCTAACTCCGACGAGAAAGTGACGAGGCTAAGACAAAATACCTACATATAAACATGTGCACTTAAGTAACGAGAAAATAAAGAGAATTATAGCAATTAAGAGAACAAGAAAAAGTATCAACTAAGATAGCAATTAGGTAACATGTGAGATAACAAGTGCAGTAGCAAAATAAATAATACGAGGAATAATAAGAATTAACTAAGGAGTATAATGACGTAAACAACATCAAAAAAGCCTTTCACCATAATTCAAGTCCAAGTAACTTGACAATGCAACTATGAAACAACATAGCAAAACTCTCAATCTATATGGTAAAAGTAAGGTGTAAGAGATATCAATCAAATGGCACAGCATCACCCTTCGTGTTTTTACTCTCATCCTCACAAGCACGAAAATATCCCTCGTATATATCACTCTTCCTCACGAGCACGGAAACATCCTTCGTGCAATTCACTCTTCCCACCACGCATAAACATGTAAATCAATACCATGAAAGGTGAAAAGAACAAATAATATCAAGAAGAGTGATTGAAAATAACTTGCCATAAGGGGAAATAGTCATCACATTACCAATATCTAAATCAACATTTCAATAGCCTTACTACCCAATATCACAACAAGCTCAACACGGCTACCAACATGAATAAGAATAGTCAAAGATTTTCACAATCTAATTTAAGCATAAAAATCAGTTTTACCTGCATGCTTAACCTATAGCAAACACATATACACCCCTTACCTTGTGTATACGCTGCTCTCAACACATGTAACACATAGCAATTAGACGTAATTACATTCTAATTTCCTCAAATCAAGGTTAACCAAGATACTTACCTCTTTTCGGGACAAATCAACCCTAAAATACTACATTTTCTTTAGCATAAACCTCCAAACTACTCGAATCTGGCAAATTAATACTCAAATAAGTCAAAATAAGCTTTAGAAACTATCCCTGTATCCAAAAAGTCCGTCTTTGACATATTTAGAAAAGTCAACAAAAAGTCAACTCTAATCCACTTGGTTGAAATTCGAAATCAAGATTAAATCCTGAATATCCATTCACCCCTAAGTCCAAATATATGATTTGTTTCGAGATCTGACCTTAATTTGAGGTGTAAATATGTAAAATAGAAAAATCCTAAGTTCTACCCAAAACCCTATTTCTATTTTATGAAATCTTATATTTTAGGATGAAAATCTACTAAAAGTAATAAAGATTGATAAGAAACAAGTTAAAGTTACTGGCCCTTGAACACGGGAAAAGATTTCTCTTCAAAAATCATCTCCCACAAAGTCTAGGTCTCAAAAAATAAAATAAAATAAACTAATCCCAAAATTCTTTATTTTTACCCAGCTGCATATGTCGCAGTTGCGAACTCTTATTAGCAATTGCACAGCTTGCAAAAGGAAACAGTGTTCGCAAATGCGAAAATGTCCTCGAGCCTCAGGTGTCACGAATGCGACACAAATCTCGCAATTGGGAGGGTCGCAAATGCGACTCCAGCTTTGCAATTACGAAGCTGGCCACCCCATCCCACCTTCACAAATACGAGGCCCACTTTGCAATTACGAACCTCGCATTTGCGAGAAGTTCATCATAATTGCGATAATTGCAGCACCAACAAATTCTAAATTCTACGAAATCAGTCCGAAATTAATTCAAAACTTATTCGGGCCCTTCGGGACTCCATCCATACATCCACACAAGTATATAAACCTCATACGAACTCGCTCGTAAGCTCAAAACATCAAAATAACATCAAGAACTAAAAATCACACATCAAAACTCAAAGATTTTAAAATTCTTAAGTTTAAATTTTTAACTTTTTTATAATAAGCGCCGAAACGGAATCGGGCCACTCAGGACCCCAATCAAACATGAGTGTAAGTTCAAAATCATCATGCGAACCTACTAGAATCGTCAAAATACCGATCTGAGGTCGTTTACTAATAATATTGACCGTGGTCAAATCCAATTACTTATAAGTTTTAAAATCAAGTTTTCTTTAAAAAATCACATTTAAATTTTCTGAAAATCAAAACGGACCACGTACGCAAATCATAAATCATCGAATAAAGCTATATAATATCTCAAATTATGAAATGAGAAGTTAGAACTCTAAACGACTTATCGGGTCATTTAAAAAATTTCTTTCGTATTTATGGATCGGTACATCTATAGGTCGATGCAGGACATACCAAGTCATATGAAACGATCTTTCATTTTATCCTCAATATGTAGGACGTGCACCTTTTGGCGAATGTGGTTAAGTTTTAATCTTATATAATCTTGAATAATTGCATATCCATCTTAGCATTCGCATTTTTGTAACACACATCTTGTGGATATATTGGACTTTAGCAATTCAACACTCACGACCATATACCATTGTCGGTATTATAACTATTTTAAAGAATATTCCTTCTCTTTGATGGACACTATTTTGTCACATAACATCCCGATAGCACTTGTCTATTCAACCATCTAATTTAACTTTACGAGTAACATTTTCATATATCATTCCATTCTTTTGAAATAACGAGCATAGATATCTAAATTATTTGTATTTTGGTACTGCTATTATGTCTAGTCTCACCTCAACTTCGCTCATCTCGGTTGGCTAAAAGCAGAGCATGTATTCAATAGCACTTCTACTTATCCTAAAATTTTTATGCCCTAAAGTGCCTCTCCATAATTTATGCTTTTGGTTGACCCCATAAATGTGGGGATTATTAACAGCCACAAATTGTATCGAATTGTGATATTTTACAAACTTCCACAATTTGATGCAATTTGCAGAGGTTATAAAAAATCTCTACAAATAAACCGCCACAAAAAGAATTATATAGCAGGGGTTAAAAGAAACGCCACAAAATAATCTTATTGTGAGGGTTCTTATTATCCCCACAAATAAACCTCCACAATTAACCGTATTTCTTGTAGTGTCGGTTCTTTGGAATCCATGAGCTATGCAAGTTCAAGTTATTTTCTTTTACCTGTAGAGATCTGCATCCCAAGCTCTTTATGAAATGTTTAAAAAAGACGTAAATTATATTTTAGGGAAAATACATAAAATACCACCTAAAGTAGGCTGCTTTAGCTCATTACGACCTTTAATTTTAACTGTGGTAGTCCTATTATTCCCCTAAACCATACCTGCACAATAAATTCTTGGAAAAGCAAATCACAAAACAAATACAGATTCCAACCTTGAAAAGAAACAACAGAGAAACTGAAGGAATAAGAATTAAAGTTGATGCAAGAGGCTCTTCAATTAATTAAATGCGAGCAGCGCCTTTAGCTCATGCTCAAAAACAGACATAATGTCTTTGTCCTTTAAGCATATCCATGCGTCTATTCCACCGCTATCTCTTGAATCCATCAATACAACAAGATTTCTGGTTGCCGTTTGAATTACACTAAACCATGAAGGCTTTCCCCAGCCAAAATCAATATCATAAAATTTGTAGCCACACAAACTACTAATTTGTAATGCTATCTCTCCTCGAATATGTGCTTCAGGTAGCTCAATGTATTCATAGAGAAGGGACAAAATGGCCTGATCACGACTCTGCTTATCCTCGTATTTGGAACTTAGTTCTGATAACGATTTTCTTATACGAGTGACCAAGGTGGACAACTCAGTGTCATCGTGATTACAAGCTGTGGCGACTGCAACTGCAACTGCATTTCCTATACAATGGTCTGGTAATGGAGGGACAAATCTCCTTCGTATATTTACGTTGTGTATCAGCTTTGATGACCTTCTGTCGAGTCCTGAAGCAGCCATGGCACATTTCCAGAGCACGGCAGATACAACTTCGACGCGAGTAGGCACTTGTACAGAATTGCAGACAACCTTAGCCTTGAGCGATGCTATAGTAGAAGCATCAAAGGCAAACAACTTAGTGACACGTTCGTCATTCAAAAAGCATTTCGCAAATTCAAACATCCACTTATAATTAGGCCCGTTTGAAACATAGGGAATAGGTGGTGGTAAGAATTTTGCAGCTGCAATAAATTCTGGGACCATACAATCGGGGCTGCTACCTCGAGCAGCTATAGCCCAAGCATTTGCGAAGGTGCACAACGTGGCTCCGTCAGCAATTTTGTGAGAAGCACACATACCAATAGCCATACCTCCACACTCGAACATTGTGACCTGAACATGTAGAGGATTATGTAATATTGAGCTACCTTCAACTATGGGGAAGAAATGTTTAGCTACGTCAGGGTTTTGAAGAACATCTTCAAACTGATAATTACGTGCAAAAGCCTCGTAAAAAGGCATCCCATCGTCGTTGCATTCAATTGAGTTGTTCTTGATTCGACCAGCAAAAGGGTAAAAGCGAGCAAGAATTTCAGACAAAGATTTCTTCAATACAAGTAATCTTGACGAATTTAGTATTACCCTTGCTTGCTCAAGATTGGAATATGATTCATCACCATTTGAGGAAGGAGGAGGATAGAATAGAACTAAGGGAGCAAATACGGTCGGTATTGCCATCTGATCCAAAAAAGAGAATTCAAAGCATCTAAGGTGATTTGGAGTGGGAAAAAGAGGTGTAATTAGCTCCATGGAAACTACCTCAATCTTCTTTTCCATGGCTAACTTTAATTTTCTGGCTTGTTTTTTCTTGTGTCGTCGCACCCAACTATGCAACTGTTAAATATATATATATAGTGATGTATCAAGTTTGTGTTTTGCCCTCCCACTTATTATCCACGTCTTATAGTTTTAGGGAGAAGGGGATACCATATGATCTTCTAATAATGCTAGAATGAGTTGTAGAAGGGACTGGTATTTTATTTTAATTAAAAGTCAAACTGTGTCACGTTGGATCAATTAATGCTAGAATGAGTTTTAGATATGCAGGGTTAATTCACTGCTAGAAGACGGTCAAAATCCGCCTAGAGCATACCTACCGAAATTGATCGAAAAAAATACCGATCGAAGTCGGTCAGAAACAAAGTAAATTCGTCGAAAAATTCAAATACAAAATTATACATAAAAATACCGACCGTAATTGGTCGAAAACCGTGGTCCCACAAAAAAGAAAGCTTACTTTATCTGACACAGTTGAAATTTCCGACCGACTGCAGTCGAAAAATGGTCAATCTTTGAGCTAAGCCTCGTCAAGCATTCATACTATCTACAAAAAAAATGATTAATTAAAAAAAATATAGCATACCGACCGATGTCGGTCAGAAATTCTTATTTATTTTGTCCCGCCCTGTGTCAATTGTTTTTTAATAATAAAAATTATTTTAATATAATTATAAAAATACTGACCCATGTCGGTCGAAAATTCTAATTATTGTTTCCCGCCCTCTGTCAATTATTTTTTTGATAATAAAAAATTATTTTTAATATAATTATAAAAATATTGACCGAAATCGGTCGGTATAAGTGANTTGCTACAACTTAAGTTTTAATATAGCACTACATCTTATAACACTATACATTTTATTTTTAAATCAGTTACCGACCGAAATCGATCGGTCGGTATTAGTTGTCAAAATGGTCAAACACTTATAGATTATTGTTACTTATAATCTACATATATATAACATCCTAAATTGTATATATATTTATATACATACACACACACACACACACATATACATATATATAACATCCTAAATTGTATATATATTTATACACACACACACACACACACACACATATATATATTCTTCAATAATGTGATTTGACCGAGTATATGTTGTTGTTGCTGCATATTTTATTTTTAAATGTGTTATAGCGTGTTGGATGCCGATACTTAGACTCGACCACTCTATCATGACTCGAAATTAACACCTTCAGAACTGTGAAGATACCTAACATTTCACTTGCTAGGCAAGCCAACGTTAGAATAATTTGAACCTTTTTTAACAATTCATCTTAATTAAATAGTAAAGAAACCAAAATAGGAATAATATCTGGATTTAAATGAACAAACCAAAATAATAACGATGTCTAAATACCATCCTACAACTGGAGTCACAAGTGCACGAGCTTCTAGAATAATACAAATAAGGATTTGAATAAAAAAAGTTGTCTGAAAGAAAGCACACAACTAAGATAAAATAGAAGGAGACTTCAGAGCTGCGAACGCTGTGCAGCTATATCTCAAGTCTCCTCTAATAACTGAATCCGAAAAAATCTACAGTACGCCACTGGGACCAACTCCGTTATCTGCACAAGAAGTGCAGAGTGTAGTATGAGTACAACCGACCCCATGTACTCTGTAAGTGT